CGAGAGAATCGAGTCTGTTACGCGGACCATCAATGGGTGGTTTCGCAAGAGTTTCACGTCCGAGTATATAAACCAACGCGTTGAAAATCTAGAAAAACGATACCAAATTTTTTCTCAACTTAAACATAAAGATGGGGTTGAGTATGATGCGACTATGAACATTTACCATGCTTCGGACAACACGTGGCATCACTTGTTTACGGTGATTTATTCAATTTTTGTATGTGTTGCTTCATTTCAGCAGTTTTTCAATTACAAACTAAATAAAATGATCATTTTCGTGTAGTGGGATGATTTTTCTTTGGCTTACATGGAGAGAGGTGATCCACAACATGACAAGATCGTCGAGTTGTTCTACGTGGAGCCACCGTACGTACCTGCTATCGAGTACTATGTTTTGACTGATAGCGACACCGAAGAGAAGAATGAAAAAAAAATCGGTGACAAAGGTGTTGAAATCATCGACGTTGAGGACTACACTCCAAAGGCCCCGAACAGAGCGAACATCCCGCGGAAAAAGGGACCAGCACGTAAGTCCTTTTACATGGGTAGTTCTTCAAAGGCCCCGGAACAGAAGCGTTCTATTCAAAGTCATACGGGGTCAACCGATGGCTCCGTCAATCAACCAACCAACTACAACGCAACACACAATCGTGTTGATGACCCCGATGCAAATTCTGCCTCCACAGCATGTTCTACCACCCCGAAATTCAACCCGGTTTATCCGTGGTACTAGGTCCGTCGTTGTATTCCTTCCCTTGTTTTTCTAACTTTATTATGTTTAATCAATGTTGTCGCAGTTATGTTTTGCGAGTTACCCACCCCTTACTTTAGCAACACCTCTTACTTTGGGTACTACGTTGTGTTGCCACGCTTTTTTATTACGGTAGTTTTGTATGTTTAGAACGTTGTACCTATGATTAAGTCCACATGTCGTGCCATCAAGCTCGTAGTGCAAGCACACTACACAAACTTGAAGTGAAAACAAACGAACATAATATAACTCATTCAAAACCGAATTACATACAAGTCCATAATGATATCCAAGTTTCCAACACCTAATATCAAAAGCTAACGAAATCCAAAACAAAGTTTGCAAGATCCTTCACACAATATCTTACCATGATACCCGAATTACCAGAAAATTGCAAAACCAAATCCTACTGTGCAACATTATCCAAAAATCTAGAGAAGTCCATAATATCATACCCGACAAACGTGCAACATGAAGCCAAAATGCCACACGCTCCACTTCAAATTACACAAATCCACTATTTTCTAACATTGAATTTTATGACGTCCTCATGTTGGAGGAGAGTGAACGTGCAGACATCACCCACAGATATGTTGTTGTTGTCGATGAACTGCCGTGCACGACCATTCTGAATGAGCTTTTTCCCATGACCGTGAATTACATCGATATCATACAGGTTGTCTCCAAACTGTAACACTGCAGAGTTGTAGTTGACATACCGTCCTTGAATGAAACCCCTCCAAAACGGCATAGGGATTGTCTAAAATGAAATCAACATAAAAACAGATGTTATATAAAATTTACAGGCCTGACAATAAATAATAAACGGAACAACATACCAAACGTGCACGCTCCACATGAGTTGGCTTAATTTCCACATTGTACTGCGGCGGCCTCTCACATCCGTTAGGCTGCATCACCAACACTTGAAAGTCGAATATCGTCCTGGGATGGAAAACTAGGATGTAGCCTATGGATATGTCTTCTGAATGAATAAATTCTCTCCACCCATCCACTAACGTTGGACAGTTGTTCACCACAGTCAAAGTCGTCTCGTACTTACGGCCCTCAATGGTCTCGATACTGAACCTCTGTGGAAACACGACACCACGGTAATGGCGGTGTGTGGCCGGAGGCAGTGCCTGGAGACATACAGTTTCGAAAAGACAATTAAAAAAATGTGAATTTCAATGAAATTACAATGCAAAAGTAAAAGACACAAACGTACCATCGTATGGGACGTGCGAGAGACAATAGCCTTGAAAAAATAAGGACCATCAGCACTAATATCGATATCCATGTTGTCCATCCTAAAGCTGTGCTCACAAGAGTTCGAAAAACATAATAAAGAGAAATGGCATAATACAACCTCAACAACTTTAATTTGCAATCATAGCCAGAGCACCAAAACGGAGAAGATAATTAACATGACGGTTATAAAGTCTTACATACGCCAAAATACATCAGTTATACATCAAAAGAAGCACACATAACTAAACCAGCAAAGTCAACCAACCACAAATACTAAGTCTTCAAAACCCACATCAAAACAAACACAACAGACAAACACCAATGTCTTCAAAAGCAATATCACAAACCCCTAATGAAGTAGTAACTCCTATCAATTCAAATCAAAGCCATTACAAGCAGCCTACAGTCGTCCTTCGTGCATCATTTTAACCATAAGACTTTTGTTGTCCTGGGACAGGCTGAAGAACATGGACAATTCTTGTGGGTTTTTACATAGACGCATGGTGATAACCATTTTATCTTCATTTGACAAGAAATGCATGTTAGACAATGAGTCAAACACTTGACTTCTTTTTTTCTCCTCGTCGTGTTCAAACCCAAGCCGACCTGCAATGCCATTCAAGCTTTCTGCTGTCTTCTGAGAGAATGATTCCATGATATCCA